GATACTGGATAGCTGGAAGGATATGGAGAGATGGAAAGAGATATGGATAGATGGAAAGAAAGACATTTGGATTGATATAAATAAATACAATTAGTCTTAGTTTCAAATATGAGGGAATGAGATGTTCATTAACTTAACCATGCAATCTAACAAGAGAGGAACCAGCAGGGGAGTAAAGAACTTTCCCCTGAGTATTATGAGCTTCAGAGGGGATCAGCAGTAGACGCCCCAGCTGTCCGCCAGAGGAGATCTAGAGTAGAGGGACCCAGCTGTCCACCAGAGGAGATCTAGAGTAGAGGGACCCAGCTGTCCACCAGAGGAGATCTACAGTAGAGGGCCCCAGCTGTCCACCAGAAGGGATCTACAGTAGAGGGCCCCAGCTGTCCACCAGAGGAGATCTAGAGTAGAGGGACCCAGCTGTCCACCAGAAGGGATCTACAGTAGAGGGCCCCAGCTGTCCACTAGAGGAGATCTAGAGTAGAGGGCCCCAGCTGTCCACCAGAAGGGATCTACAGTAGAGGGCCCCAGCTGTCCACCAGAGGAGATCTAGAGTAGAGGGACCCAGCTGTCCACCAGAGGAGATCTACAGTAGAGGGCCCCAGCTGTCCACCAGAAGGGATCAACAGTAGAGGGCCCCAGCTGTCCACCAGAAGGGATCTAGAGTAGAGGGACCCAGCTGTCCACCAGAAGGGATCTAGAGTAGAGGGCCCCAGCTGTCCACCAGAAGGGATCTACAGTAGAGGGCCCCAGCTGTCCACCAGAGGAGATCTAGAGTAGAGGGCCCCAGCTGTCCACCATAAGGGATCTACAGTAGAGGGCCCCAGCTGTCCAGCTGTCCACCAGAGGAGATCTAGAGTAGAGGGCCCCAGCTGTCCACCATAAGGGATCTAGAGTAGAGGGCCCCATCTGTCCACCAGAAGGGATCTACAGTAGAGGGCCCCAGCTGTCCACCAGAGGGAATCTAAAGTAGAGTGCCCCAGCTGTCCAGCTGTCAACAAGAGGAGATCTACAATAGAGGGCCCCAGCTGTCCACCAGAAGGGATCTAGTGTAGAGGGACCCAGCTGTCCACCAGAGAAGATCTAGAGTAGAGGGCCCCAGCTGTCCATCAGAAGGGATCTAGACTAGAGGGCCCCAGCTGTCCACCAGAAGGGATCTAGAGTAGAGGGCCCCAGCTGCCATCAGAAGGGATCTAGTGTAGAGGGACCCAGCTGTCCACCAGAGGGGATATAGTTTAGAGGGACCCAGCTGTCCACCAGAGTGGATCTAGAGTAGAGGGCCCCAGCTGTCCACCAGAGGGGATATAGTTTAGAGGGACCCAGCTGTCCACCAGAAGGGATCTAGAGTAGAGGGCCCCAGCTGTCCACCAGAGGGGATCTAGAGTAGAGGGCCCCAGCTGTCATCAGAAGGGATCTAGTGTAGAGGGACCCAGCTGTCCACCAGAGGGGATCTAGTGTAGAGGGACCCAGCTGTCATCAGAAGGGATCTAGTGTAGAGGGCCCCAGCTGTCATCAGAAGGGATCTAGTGTAGAGGGACCCAGCTGTCCACCAGAGGAAATCTAGAGTAGAGGGCCCCAGTTGTCCACCAGAGGGGATCTAGTTTAGAGGGACCCAGCTGTCCACCAGAGGGGATCTAGAGTAGAGGGCCCCAGCTGTCCACCAGAGGGGATCTAGTTTAGAGGGACCCAGCTGTCCACCAGAAGGGATCTAGAGTAGAGGGCCCCAGCTGTCCACCAGAGGGGATCTAGAGTAGAGGGCCCCAGCTGTCCACCAGAGGGGATCTAGTTTAGAGGGACTCAGCTGTCCACCAGAAGGGATCTAGAGTAGAGGGCCCCAGCTGTCCACCAGAGGGGATCTAGAGTAGAGGGCCCCAGCTGTCCACCAGAGGGGATCTAGAGTAGAGGGCCCCAGCTTTCCACCAGAGGTCCCAGCCGTCCACCAGAGGCCCAGTCCTCACATGCTAAGTATTCTGCTGTGAGCTTGTATAGGATGAGAAAGCGTCTGTCTGTGCCAACCGGTTGCATCAGTAAACCTGGGTAGATGATTTGAAATGACGTTTGCCTTTTCTGCGTTCTTACACTACATTTCCTAAAAAATCCATTCAGTCAAGGTTTCCTGTTGTTTTTTAAAGGCGTGCCATGCACCGGCCAAACATGTCAGTAAAGGCTCATTCCTTGCCGTTGGACAGAGACAGGCATGACCGTTGATAATTCAATTTTTAAAATGTAATACAAATCGCTGGTTCACCCCCCCCCCCCCCCCCCCCCCCCCATACTCAAAATGTATTTGTTTCACTTCTTTCACTCAATCGGGACAGAGTGAAATATTGTCTGCTTAACGACTGATTTTATACTGTATATTAATTTGGAGAGAATATTTCAGTTGATTCCTCTGGACAACATTTTTATCTGGACCCAGTTCAATGGGGATATTGAGAATTTTCTTCTCCAAATAATAATAATGAATAAATCTAGTTAGGTGGGAACTCAGTCTGCATTAACAATTTTTTTTCTCTGTATAATATAATATTTTATAATTAGAAATAATAAATACTTTGAACAATGTTGAATTATATCATATCTAAATCGATAAATCAGGCTGGGATATAAACAGTCGTCTAATCTGGTGTTCTTCTGTTCATAAATACAGCATCGATTTTCTCAACAGGGTCTATAATTAGAACAGGTGAGCAGGACTACAATACCTGGATTACAGTCTGACATAATCTGCTCTAACTGTCATACAACCTCAGCGGAATCCATTTACTATGCTACTTGGCTATGTACCTAGGCTATTTACCCTGCCAAAGGACTGGCCAATAACCATTTCATTCCAGTCAAACCTCATAAAAACGTAAATGTATATATATATATATATCAATATCTGTGTTTTACGCATGACTCCTACGCATATCAGAGAAGCGTAACTTTGAGTATGATTCCTCTTTGATAGTAAATTCACAACAATATTAAATACATCAACAAGAATAAATCAGCCTCAAATATTTTCCGAATCAAAAACTAATATAATGTGTCATTGTTAATCAATTCTCGCAGTATTTTTTACCAGGTGGCTGAGAGTTCTGAAGAAGCAGTCGGTCAGCATGAGTTTCCATCTCTCCTCTATCGCGTCCGGAATGGGCTGGTAAACATAGTAAGCGGTGAACGCTCCCAAAGACAGGAGTAAAAATATGCCTTTCAACCGCATTTTAGCTAAATCCCCAGCTATTGATGGAAGGATGCAGAAAAAAAAAACGGTGTCACTTTTGCTTATTAACAAGCACTTAAATCCGAGCAAAGCGTAATATCGTATTAATTATGGAACTGAGCCAGCCAGATATGAAAGCACTTAAGAGTTATCCGATCATTATAAGCGAGCATGATCGTAGCTTTCCACCGTTACTATCACTGCCTGCACACAGCAGGCGGTTGTGTCGTATGATCCCCTGTCCTTCAAACCCATCGAACAGGGTAAAATCCGTTAATGCGCGCTGGTGGGTTGAAGTGCACCCGTGGGTTGAAACAGTCGAACTGAAGAGTGAGCCCCCCCGCTGCTCACGAGGCAAGACTTCCCTGGCCCGTTCTCTGGCACTTGACTCTCTCCCTCTCTCTCTCTCTCTCTCTCTCCTCTCGGCAAGGGACTTGAACGATCAGCGCTCCTTCTATCTTCTTCTCGATCTAGGGAGAAACTACTATCTCTCTAGCACTCGGCGCTCAGAGATAAGAGAGCGAGAGGCGGTAGGAAGTGCATCAGTAGGGGGCTAGAGAGAAGAGAGCGGGGGGGAGAGAGAGAGGCGATCTTAGGAGGTAGGGAGAAGTGCTCTCCTAAGATCTGGAGATATCTCTCGATCTTTCTCTTCTCATCTGATGACTATCTCTGTCTCTGCTATCTCTTCTCTCATCTTCTCTCTCTCTCTCTCTCTCTCTCTCTCGTTCTTTCTCTCTCTCTCTCTGTCGGGCGCGCGGCGCAGTGCACTCCACTCTCGCCCCCCCGTGAGGAACGTGAGCCAGAAAACTTGCTGTAACAGCACCGGCGGCTCGTGCGCAACTTTCACCACTGCGTCGCCCTATATATTTCTTAACAGGTTGCAGGACAGTATCCTGTAGCTTTTCTATTCTATCGGCGTGGGATACAAAGTGTCAAGGATTCAGTCTTGAAGATAATAATTTCACAATTATACACATTATTCAAACCAAAGCGCAACGATCAGCACACTCCACTCGGGCGAGATAGGAGCAGCCAATTATTTATGTATACACTAGACGACTTAGAGGGGGCGCTGTTTTGAAGCAACCGAGCCTCCATCTTGGCTCTCCCCCATTGTCTTAAAACATATTTTGGAAGCTATAGAAATGCATTTATTAATGTCTACATTTGTTTTTGCCACGTTTATTTTATTACAGACACCATAATGCATACTTTGAAATTATATTATGTGAGCTAAACATACAAATAAAAAAGCATATATATATATATATATATATATATATATATACAGTGAGGGAAACAAGTATTTGATCCCCTGCTGATTTTGTACGTTTGCCCACTGACAAAGAAATGATCAGTCAATAATTTTAATGGTAGGTTTATTTGAACAGTGAGAGACAGAATAACAACAAAAAAATCCAGAAAAACGCATGTAAAATTTTTTACACATTGATTTGCATTTTAATGAGGGAAATAAGTATTTGACCCCCTCTCAATCAGAAAGATTTCTGGCTCCAAGGTGTCTTTTATACAGGTAACGAGCTGAGATTAGGTGCACACTCTTAAAGGGAGTGCTCCTAATCACAGTTTGTTACCTGTATAAAAGACACCTGTCCACAGAAGCAATCAATCAATCAGATTCCAAACTCTCCACCATGGCCAAGACCAAAGAGCTCTCCAAGGATGTCAGGGACCAGATTGTAGACCTACACAAGGCTGGAATGGGCTACAAGACCATCGCCAAGCAGCTTGGTGAGAAGGTGACAACAGTTGGTGCGATTATTCGCAAATGGAAGAAACACAAAATAACTGTCAATCTCCCTCGGCCTGGGGCTCCATGCAAGATCTCACCTCGTGGAGTTGCAATGATCATGAGAACGGTGAGGAATCAGCCCAGAACAACACGGGAGGATCTTGTCAATGATCTCAAGGCAGCTGGGACCATAGTCACCAAGAAAACAATTGGTAACACATTACACCGTGAAGGACTGAAATCCTGCATCGCCCGCAAGGTCCCCCTGCTCAAGAAAGCACATATACAGGCCCGTCTGAAGTTTGCCAATGAACATCTGAATGATTCAGAGGAGAACTGGGTGAAAGTGTTGTGGTCAGATGAGACCAAAATCGAGCTCTTTGGCATCAACTCAACTTGCCATGTTTGGAGGAGGAGGAATGACCCCAAGAACACCATCCCAACTGTCAAACATGGAGGTGGAAATATTATGCTTTGGGGGTGTTTTTCTGCTAAGGGGACAGGACAACTTCACCGCATCAAAGGGACGATGGACGGGGCCATGTACCGTCAAATCTTAGGTGAGAACCTCCTTCCCTCAGCCAGGGCATTGAACATGGGTAGTGGATGGGTATTCCAGCATGACAATGACCCAAAACACACGGCCAAGGCAACAAAGGAGTGGCTCAAGAAGAAGCACATTAAGGTCCTGGAGTGGCCTAACCAGTCTCCAGACCTTAATCCCATAGAAAATCTGTGGAGGGAGCTGAAGGTTCGAGTGCCAAACGTCAGCCTCGAAACCTTAATGACTTGGAGAAGATCTGCAAAGAGGAGTGGGACAAAATCCCTCCTGAGATGTGTGCAAACCTGGTGGCCAACTACAAGAAACGACTGACCTCTGTTATTGCCAACAAGGGTTTTGCCACCAAGTACTAAGTCATGTTTTGCAGAGGGGTCAAATACTTATTTCCCTCATTAAAATGCAAATCAATTCATAACATTTTTGACATGCGTTTTTCTGGATTTTGTTGTTGTTATTCTGTCTCTCACTGTTCAAATAAACCTACCATTAAAATGATAGACTGATCATGTCTTTGTCAGTGGGCAAACGCACAAAATCAGCAGGGGATCAAATACTTTTTTCCCTCACTATATATATATATATATATATACACATCTTCCTTAAAGGCCCAGAAAGAGAGTTCCAAACCTCTCTGCCAATAACAGCTGGATTTCCCCTTTCCAGTCAGAACACTCCCAGACTGTCCTAACAACATTTTTACTTGAAGAATTGCTCTTTGCCTAGAAGCTATTGTTGTTTATTTTTTTACAATTTTTATTGAAAACAATCAGATTAAGGGACCTAATTGTTTGGTATCACATTAAGGTACCCAGTAATAATTTGATATTGAGAAAATAATGGCTGCATTGGATATATATATATATATATATATATATATATATATATATATATATATATATATATATATATATATATATAGTGCATTCGGAAAGTATTCAGACCCCTTGACTTTTTCCACATTTTGTTAAGTTACAACCTTATTCTAAAATGGATTACATTGTTTTTTCCCCTCATCAATCTTTACACAACACCCCATAATGAAAAAGCAAAAACAGGTTTTTATTTATTTTTGCAAATTTATAAAAAGTATTCAGACCCTTTACTCAGTACTTGGAATAAAATGGAACGGAGTAAAACGAGTGGTTTCCATACGTTTGATGTGTTTGATACCGTTCCATTAATTCCATTCCAGCCATTACAATGAGCCCGTCCTTCTATAGCTCCTCCCACAAGCCTCCACTGATGTAATATCCTAGGCATGTTAGTGCATCATATTCAGATTAATTTAATTTAATTAATTAATTAATTTTGCCATTTAGCAGACGCTTTTATCCAAAGCGACTTACAGTCATGCGTGCATACATTTTTTTTTTTGTGTATGGGTGGTCCCGGGGATCGAACCCACTACCTTGGCGTTACAAGCGCCGTGCTCTACCAGCTGAGCTACAGAGGACCACATACAGATGTTACAACAGTCAGAATGACACCCTAATTAAAATAAAAATTGAACAGGTAAAGAGGTAGGTATGATTAATTTGATCAAGCTATGTAGCCTATTGATTCTTTCTTCATAAATAAATACAACTAAAATGTTTTGCTGTTTCTCTGTAATACTAGCCACCTAGCAATTTTATGAAGTTGGCTTCAGCTTTCCAGCTGGGCACAGACGTCAGTTCAACATCTAGTTTTGATTTACATTTGGTTAAGTTGTCAACTGACGTGAATTCAACGTAAAAAATAATAAAATATATCACCATGTCATTGGATTTAGGTAAAACGTTTGGTGAAATAAATACACAATTCTCTTATGTTGATAATTTAGGTCTGAGGCTCCATGCAAGATCTCACCTCGTGGGGCATCAATGATCATGAGGAAGGTGAGGGATCAGCCCAGAACTACACGGCAGGACCTGGTCAATGACCTGAAGAGAGCTGGGACCACAGTCTCAGAGAAAACCATTAGTAACACACTACGCCGTCATGGATTAAAAATCCTGCACCACACACAAGGTCCCCCTGCTCAAGCCAGCGCATGTCCCATCTGAAGTTTTCCAATGACCATCTGGATGATCCAGAGGAGGAATGGGAGAAGGTCATGTGGTCTGATGAGACAAAAATATAGCTTTTTGGTCAAAACTCCACTCGCCGTGTTTGGAGGAAGAAGAAGGATGAGTACAACCCCAAGAACACCATCCCAACTGTGAAGCATGGAGGTGGAAACATCATTCCTTGGGGATGTTTCCACCTCCAAGGTGACAGGACGACGGCACCGTATTGAGGGGAGGATGGATGGGGCCATGTATCGCGAGATCTTTTTTTGAGATCTTGGCCAACAACCTCCTTCCCTCAGTAAGAGCATTGAAGATGGGTCGTGGCTGGGTCTTCCAGCATGACAACGACCCGAAACACACAGCCAGGGCAACTAAGGAGTGGCTCTGTAAGAATAATCTCAAGGTCCTGGAGTGGCCTAGCCAGTCTCCAGACCTGAACCCAATAGAACATCTTTGGAGGGAGCTGAAAGTCTGTATTGCCCAGCGACAGCCCCGAAACCCCTGAAGGATCTGGAGAAGGTCTGTATGGAGGAGTGGGCCAAAATCCCTGCTGCAGTGTGTGCAAACCTGGTCAAGACCTACAGGAAATGTATGATCTCTGTAATTGCAAACAAAGGTTTCTGTACCAAATATTAAGTTCTGCTTTTCTGATGTATCAAATACTTATGTCATGCAATAAAATGCAAATTAATTACTTTAAATTCATACAATGTGATTTTCTGGATTTTTGATTTAGATTCTGTCTCTCACAGTTGAAGTGTACCTATGATAAAAATTCCAGACCTCTACATGCTTTGTAAGTAGGAAAACCTGCTGTCAGAGCTGGCATAGGGGTGGTGTGGAAATCAGATGCAGGATGCAGAAGTAGTCCAAAATACTTTAATCAAGTCCACAGAATGAACGGCTACAAACAGAGCCGGAGGCACAAGAAAAATAACGCAGCGTAATAAACCAAACACGCACAATAGTGCGGACTCTCTACAGAGATAGAGCATAAACTTGACATGGAAACACCTGCTGACAATGAACAACTACACACAACCACA